CGTCAATCATTTGATCGATGTTTGGCAACGGGAAAGAGTCTTTAGGGCATGTATTATTTAAATCTTTATAATCTACACACATTATAAATTTATTATTATTTTTAGGCACTAGCACTATTTTAGCTAGCCAATCGGGGTAATTTACCTCTCGAATTGAACCTATATTTAGTAATCGGGTTACCTTTTTCTTTACAAACCTGTTTCTGACCTTTGCAATCACCTTACCGGAGGAAAGTTAGGATCCAAACTCAGCTTGTGGACAACTACTTCCAATGGAATACTTGTCATATCTAAATATGACCATGCAAAAAATCAACGTTAGATTTTAGAAAATCCATAATTTTTAACTTGAGTTTGGGACTCAGACCCGTTCCTAAGTGAAATTTTCATTCTAAGAACTCCTCGAACAAAGCCACTTGTTCGAGCTCTTCTGCGGTTAATTTAGTCGCATTTGTTTCCTCTAGTGCCTGGAAAGACCTCGGTACCTGATAAAATTATGATGACTCGTCTTCTTTATCATCTACAGTCGAGGTGGAAGAAGACATCGGTTCCTGTAATTGCTATTTGCTCGTTTCTTTGCCCTTGCTACTGGAAACGGTCACTATGTTCAGCTACCTTGCAACCGGTTGATCTCTTTTGATATGCTTGATCCCTTCTGGTGTGGGAAATTTCAACAGTTGATGGTATGTTGAAGGTACAACCTTCATTTCATGTATCCATGTCCTTCCAAGGATTACATTATATCTCATGACGCCATCTACCACTTCGAACAAGGTGGTCTTCATTACTCATTCGGCATGTGTGGGCACTAAAATTTCTCCTCGGGTTGTAACACTTGTTAAGCTGAACCCAGCTAAAAGCTTTGTTAACGGAACTATGTTTCCGATTAACTTCGCTTGCTCCAAAACACTCCCTTGTATAATGTTGGTTGAACTTCTTGGATCAACCAAAACATGCTTAATTTTGAAATCTAAAACATTAAGAGAAATTACCAAAGCATCGTTGTGTGGTAGAAAAAGTCCATCAGCATCCTCTTCTGTAAAGGTAATGTTATCTTTTGAGAATTCTCGGATTCTCTTGCCATGGGTTTCCAATATCTTAGTCTTCTTTGCTACCAAAAATGTCACCCCATTTACTTCGTCTCCACCGAAGATCATGTTTATTGTCATACGAGGTGACCCTATAGCTGGTTTTTATGGTTCTGTGACATTTTAATTTTTTCCATAGTTTCTCTTAGCCCGGTCGCTTAAAAACTCTTTGAGGTGACCATTCTTCAGCAAAGTTGCTACCTCTTCACGAAGGTGTCGACAGTCCCTAGTCTTGCGGCCGTGAGTTTCATGGAACTCACACCATAGATTAGGATCCGATCATATTGGTTTCGGGAACCTAGATTCTTTAATATTCCTCATAATCGACACCAGTTCTACCAAATTGATGTTAAAGTTGTAGTCGGATAACCTTGGATATGTTAAATCTCGGGACCTCATCGCCTCTTTCTCCTACAATGATCTACTACTTCGACCACGATTCGCCCTTCTATCAGAAGTGAACCTATCAGATGACTTAAAACCTTTATTTCCACACCCATCGGCCCTCTCGTAAGGTTGAAAATGACTCTGAGGACCACCGATCTGCATCAAAATCATTTTTGAACTTATCTTGATTCCGATCACAATTTTGTCCTTTGGGAGATATCAAAGAACCCAATTGATCATCTTCTATTCTGATCTTTGACTCGTAGCGATTGTGAACGTCTGCTCATGTGGTTGCCTAAAATTCAAGCAAGACTTTCTTCAATTTTGGGGAGGCATCGAAACTCAACGGGTTGAGACACTTTACAAATACCTTCGCTGCCCACTCATTCGGTACTGCCGGTAACAACATCCTTTCCTTTTTTGAAACCGGATCATGAACTCTCGCAATAGTTCGGATTCTCCTTAAGATATTCTGAATTTATCTACCTTCCTTGATTGGACCTTTCTTGCTCCAGTATGAGCTTTGATAGACGAATCTACAAGCATTTCAAAAGAATCAATAGAATACTCAGGTAAAAGGGAATACCAAGTTAAGGCACCCTTCTTCCGGGTTTCGCCAAACTTCTTCAATAAGAAAGATTCAATATCATGCTGGGCCATGTCATTTCCTTTACAATCATAGTGTAGGTTGTGATATGTTCATGTGGATCCAAAGTCCCATCATACTTCGAAATATCTGGCATCTTAAATCTTTTTCAAAATTAACTCTAGAGACGCACTTGGTTTGAACGGCAACTGCGTATACTTTTGGAATTCGGTCCCTTTAACACCGGCAGCGCTCCCGGGATCTGATCCATCCGAGCATGAAATTCCTTTGTATTTTGGTCCATTCGTTCGTTCATTTTCCTCATGAATCTAATGAGCTCGATTTTGAAATAGTCGTTTGCGTTGTTGTCATTCCCAAATCCACTACCTATACCTCCTGCCTCGTTAAAACCAAACTCCTTCCTTGGAGCGTCGTTACCAGTTCTTTGAACTATTTGATTTACAGGGACGCCGAGTGGAATGTGAGCTCTTCCGTTAGAAGTATTGGAAGCACCCGATAACGCCTGTTTCAACTATGTTATCACCTGATCTTGTCTTGAGAGGTGATCTATAATTGAACTTTGTTTCTCTCTCATGATTTTGACCGTTTCAACAACGTGTTCATCATCCGCATCATCAGGAGTTGGACTCCTTACATATGAGGATTTTGACCTTCGCGAATTGGAGTTGTATCATCTCCTTCATTACGGATTTCGCTGGTTGAATCATCACGTTGAAATACATCATCACATTTATCATGTGCTCCGACATTATTGGAATTGTTGACACTATTAGCTGCCATATATTAATTTTTTTTTCTAACAAGGGAATCAAAATTTATTAGTAACAGATGAATGGATCAACGCAATTACACAATTGTCTATGCCCCACGGTGGGCGCCAAACTATTTAACTATAAAACGGCACAATTGAATTTATAGCGTGGTTTATAGCCACGTGAATTAGTTTGATCTTAAAATATGAAATCAATAAGAACAGAAATAAGATTATAAAATAAACTTAAAGGAAATACAAACCTGGCTATGAACTTAGCCTCTCTGGTAACAGAAGCGAGAACAATATTAGGAATAAAGTCAAAGAATAGTGTTATAGAATAAGAGCTGATTCAAGCTTTTGTGTACAGAATATTTTATGTCCTACAATGGATACTAATACTCTTATTTATAGCTCTATTTAAGGAGACAAGATCCCAAAATCAAGCTCCTCTTGAATGAGAATAAAACTCACATTGGTGGCTGCATAACGGTTGGCTATAAATGCAGATATTCTCTGTAACGGTTGTTTCATTAAATGCTATCCGATATCAGTTCTTCAAATCTTTATTATCGGTTACCCTGCCTATGAAATTTACCCAGCACTGATCACATGCTTGCAACCGGTAATAACTACTTGCTGACTCACATCTTGCCTGTCTTCAGCTCTACGTGTCATCTCCTCATTCGTCCAACTACCACTAACCAATTTTACCGCATACAATAACAGCTTCATTTGTTCTGATACTTTTTAGCTTTTATAGTGAATGGTTGTTATACACCTATACATAATTTGCCGTTCAAATATATTTTGGTTGTTATAAACAAAAATTATCCAAAAATCATAGTATTTTTTAATATTACATTTAAAAGATAAAAAATTATTTAAATATAAATACTCAAAAAGATATGTAAATTTTACTAATTAAATATTAAAAAAGCCAACACATTATTAATAAATTCGTGACTAAATGTATAAAGATTTAGACTCTAAAGCATATATTTTAAAGTACTAGAAGATTAAATTATTTCAAGATTGATGAAAAACTCTGTAATTGTAGCTTGTTCCATAGATTTCAGTCTCTTACTAGCGATATAACGCTTGAATTAGCGAAAATTTGTGTCCAAACTTTAAGCAAAAGGATATCTAATAGTTTTCCCTTGAAAGAAATCTAAGAGGTTAACAATTGAATCATCTATCTCGGTTCAAGTAGCAGTAGGTTGAGGTCAAAATTCTACATGGATGGAATAGAGGGTAATTTTGCAAAGAGCGTACTGCTATAAAGATGGATATTACTTTTATAGGTAAAAAGCTGTTATAGAGAGGTAAAATAAGAGTATAACATAAAAAAAATTGGTTTCGAGAAAAACTTGTTTCAAACGTTTAATAATTTATTAATGGTTAGTGATGTTTCTCAAATCCAAATCTCTGTTTACCCTAATACTACTTATTGAATGTAAAAGGCATTACGTATAAGTTTAAACCGTTAGAGATTATACTTTTATGTTTTTGTTGTAGTCTACAACAAAATAAAGTGTTATACTTTATCTGTGTAGGTGAGAGGTAAGAGGTATCTCAAGAGATTAGTCTATCATTAGTGATCAAATTGAGGAATACCTTAAATTGAATTCATGGTAAAATAGTCTATTGCTAGTCATTTTGGTCACAGGCTTCTCCTGACATTTGAAATTAGAAAAAAAAAAGACAACTATGTCAAGTTAGCATGGCTAATAGACGACATGAAAATGTATACTCAATAGATATCAACAGTACTACAAACTGCTGAGTCCATAAATGCACCCAGACCTGAATAGAAGCATGATGCTTCTCTACAGCATTCTCGAATTTGTTTTACTTTATTTGATGTATAGAAAATCTAAGGAAAAAAAATTATTTTTGAAACATATGGTCATAAAAGTTTAAATGATAAAAGTTTTGTGGAGTCATAATATTTATGTAGCTATAAAAACTTCTCATTAAAGGTAAAATAGGTAAAATTAAAAAGTTTAAAGTCAAATTGTTTTCAAATATAGAAATATGTCCTTTGCTGAACGGACTAATAAGGAAAGTGTGTCGCATAAATTGAAACGGATCGAGTACAAAAGGAGGAAGTGAAGACCTAGAACTGGAAGTCCGGAAGTGCCATAAGCGGAAGACGAACAAGCAGTATGCATGCTTGCAACTCCTCATACTTTGCTCGATTAAAAACATCACGTCAAATTACAAATGTTTACTAATGAAAAGTTCAAAAAAAAAATTGAAAAAGTTATGTAAAATGACATACAGTGTAATGCAAAGACTATGAAATGCAACTTTTTATAAGTAACAGACGTGGAATATTCTTAACGACTCTCCTTCATCAATACAGTGCAAATTTAAAATAACGGAAATAAATGTAAGAATGAATCAAAATCTACTCTAGACCCTGTTTTTTTCCTTCTGCTATCATTGCTGAGAATCAAAATCCACTCTAGACCCTGTTTTTTTTCCTTCTGCTATCATTGTTTTTTTCCTCAATATGCAGCGCTTATCGGCAATCATTTTCTCTTAAATTCTATCCTTGCGCGCTTCGAGACTTCCAGAGCAGAGCAGGGCTTACAAACTAAACAGCAACAGCTTTCTTCAAACTTGCCACATACGTCAAATATATCGACCATGCATATGCGAATGCACTATTGGCCAATGGCTGCCAAAGAGCATTACCAAAAACATTAAACCTCATGAATGTTTAAAATACCAGGTTCAGAATAGTTGGAGGAGTGAATTGAGCAATTTAGATAAATGTGAAATTGATGAAAACGTAGAGTAATATATGCTCCCCAGAAGGGCAGGTAGCCAGACCCCAGAAACTGTGGATCATCTCATTAAAGATAATGCACTAGCTGTCATTAGAAAAACCGAGTATTATAAAGTACCTGCAAATGGACAGGGATTACTTTATATGTCAAGAAATCACAAAACGGCCAGTACATTAGGCCATTCATCATTGTTGGGAGCAGGTCACGCTTCAACCTTGCAGCGATTTCCTCCCCATTCTCACCTGAATGTGACAAATGAGAATAGTCAAAGTTGTACATCATCAAATAAAAATCGAGTAAATCATGTTGAGCCAATGAGACAGTAAGCGAAAAGGCATATGCAATAATCAGACTTGGTGAAGCGGACAAATAATCCTATATCACATATGCAGATTTCCTACAGAGAACTTCTAACTCTATGAGGCAAAAAAAAATAGCTTCCTATATAATTGATAGTATAGTCATGAAACTCTCCGGGTTCGAGCCGTGGAATCAGCCTCTTGCAGAAATACAGGGTAAGGCTGCGTACAATAGAACCCTTGTGGTCCGGCCCTTCTCAAGACCCAGCTCATAGCGGGAGCTTAGTGCACTGGGCTGCCCTTTTTTAATAGTCATGAAACTCTCATAAAGTTTCGTTAGTGATGGATCCTTAGCTTCACATCTATAGCACTGCCAACAGCTAAGAATGATGCCAAAGCTCTGTTTGATGGTAGAAAGCAGAAGCTAACCATCTTATCCTCTTTAATCATATTTACAAATATGTATTGGCAGAGATTCAAAAGAGATGATACCTTAAGAACAAACAGATCCATTAGTGTAATATTCAGAAGCTCAGCCGTGTACGTGGTAAATTTAGATGATACCATTCAACTAGTCCCACAACTTAAACATCTTGATAGAATAATATGCATGCAGTTAAGAAGATTGTTGCAACAATGCTACATGCATCAGCGGGCAAAAATATGTTTCCTTAGTTCAGGTGGAAAGACGCACCAAGAATAGCAAAAAAGAAATCACAACTAGAATATAACATCCCTATTGTGCCAATCAAGTTTTAGGCCCAGATCAATGTATCTTCTTAAGTTTCTCAAGAGATCAAATCTGATGATTGATAATCAGAGTCTACTTATATTGAATGGATAAGAGCTGAATGTCCAGCCAACCCTTTAGTATTAGTAACTCAATGGCAAGAAATAGATATACTCCAGTCAAAGGTCCTTCCATTTTTAATTGGGAAAAAGGCCAAATTTACCCCCATCATATCTGATTGGTCTTATAGATACCCTCTGTTAACCTACTGGGTTATCAGAGCCTATACGTTTTCGTTTGACTTAAAATTGCCCCTACGCTGTATTTGTAATAACTAGTCTTGAATTTTAAATGGTGATGGAAAAGAACCATAACTATGTAACCCAATTCCTAACACATTGACCCCTTTGTTCGAGTATGTAAATAAATTGCAAATACGATCCAAGTAATAAATGCCCAAGTCTCTTTTGTGTCCCAATTCCAATATGATCTCTTGCTACATTAGCAAATACCACTCATGAAAGGATTCCTATGGTTAAAAGAGTAAATCCTAAACTAATAAACCATTACTCCAATAATTCAATTGTTGAATCGATTTAGACCTGTAAAAAGTTTAGCAGGAAAAAAAGTATTTTGTAAAACATTTTCACCCAAGAAAAATCACTCGTTTAAAAAAACCATTGCTCTTATAAAAAGGTTTTCTGAGGAATTTTTTTTTAATCTTTTCCCTCTTCAAAATTATTCTCCAATGAATGACTTTTAGAGTGATTCGGATATAGCTTTTGTCCATTTACAATTTACTTAATTGGCTGTTCACACTTCAACCAACCCTCCATGAATCAAGATTGAGAACCACAAGATACAGAATGAACATTTTCCTCCTCAACCTCTCACGAACCCACTCCCCTAGCCCCAATCATTAGCAACTTCTTTCTGGCCACAGAACTCTCTTGCAGTCATGCTTCAACTTCCTGCCTGTGTTTACCCATGACAATTGTCTCTAAGCCCCCTCAATCTTCTACAAGACCCCACCCCCTTCACCTCCACCCTCACCCGGTTTCCTTTTTAGCGATCTCAAGATTTCAGTTAAGATGGCAGAAGATTGCCTTTACTATGTTTAGATGAAGAATATTACGGCTTTTCTTTCAATAATTAGAAAGAGTTACAATAGGTATAATTGCACTTTTGATCCCTCAAATTCCGAGTTTGTTCTTGTGATGTCAAAAATAAGGACATTTAACCTTCAATTAATCTAAGTGTTTGCTTTGGTCCTTTGACCTAATGCACATCCACAACTTTAACGAACTAGCCACTAAACAATGTGACTGCCCGTATACAATTTTTAGTAAGAATTAAATTGGTACTTTTACCTTTTATTTTAAAGGGGTTATTTGTATTATGATAATTTTTTAAACTATATCATCCACAAAATATGGAGTAAATGTACTAGAATAAGCTCCATTTAGAAACACAGAGATAGTCACCATACTTCCGGAAAAGGCAAGTTTGAAGCACCCACATAGAGGTGTAGTATTTATCAATGGTCTAATCGTCCTAATGCTGCTTTCTGGACTCTGAACTGCTATTCTGAACAATTCCCCACATGTTTTCCTGACTATCAGTACATTAAATTCCCCTCTTTTAGCTTTTTCAACCAACATTCTCTTATCCAATTCCTCATTGATGACCCCAGATATTGTCGCATACTCGTATGACATTTCTACTACAATTGCTTTGGCAGTCATCCACTTTCCCAATTTGAGGTGCATATTCATACTCAAGATGTATAATTATATGCCTATTAGTATGAAAAAATGCATAATCGAGAAACAAATTACCTACTTCACTACCAGAAAGCAAGAGTTAGGCAGAAAGTGAATTTAACAGAAAAGAACCTAGTGTGTACCTTGTAGGGCAGCATTGAAAGAGAAGAAAACAGAGTTAATCACAGGCCCAAAAGCAAGCTGTCCCATCAACAGTTTCTTCAACGTACTAACGATATCCCGATTTGGCAATACCCTCCCCATAAAGTTAAACCAATGATGTTGAGCTGTTCCTAAAATTAATAGTCCAAAGCCAGCCATACGCAGAGTCCTGATTATATCTAAAGAATCTGAAGGTGACATCGTAATCATCTGGCAAAATGCAAACCATATAACTCATGAGTCATGTTTAACCAATTTCATTGCATCAAAAATTCAAACTTGCCAGTTCTTTTACCTAATTAAATTAAAAATCACACTATATAGTGTGTTTGGTATGGTAAAAAAATGTTTTCTGGGAAACTGCTTTCCATGATGAAAACACTGGCAGAGCCAGGAGTTCAAATAAAAAATGCCACACCTGGAATTGAACATGCATTTCTCTTATGTTAAGGGGATTCAAAATTCCATTTAAGTAGAAAAAGATTTATTTTTACCCTATTTACGCAATATAACTTTCCGATGAAGGTGATTCAACTTGCATGTGGCTCCCCGCACGAGATGAAATGATTATCTAGTTTGGTCACTTTGAATTGTTTAAAATACTCTCTCTCAAAAGACAGGAAAATGCAAGTCCTTCTTTACATATATACCTCTCTCTTACTCTATCTCACTTGCTTCAATCATTGCTTAGACATTATCCTCAACATACAACACAAAATATCACCAAATAGACTATCTTGATATCATAACTTCCAATTTGTACCATTATCATGTATTACCTGCTTAGATATCCAATCAAACAAATATGGTCCAGAATATAGCTTCATAATCTAAAACATTTTCCACTGAATAATTTTTGTATGACGGTGGTGTTCGGGCCACCCTGTGTGCCCAGGTACATGCTACCTCCCACCGGTACCGTGTAACTCTTCCCACCGAGGCTTAAGGGAAAAGATCACTTAGTGTTTTTTGCTTCTGAGGGGATTAGTTTCCGCTGTAAAAATATTCTCTCTGGAAAACGTTTTATGTATACTATGCATTACTTAAGTCAAAAATTAGACAAAGAAAAGTGAAAAATACCTGGGAAGTTAGGTCAGCAGCAGCATAAATAATAGCAGAGGATACGCTTTTTGTAATAATTGGACGAGACTCTAAAGCTCCTAAATACCATCTCAAAAATCCCAGTTGGGTTTTTGAAGAGGCAGATGAATAGGATTTTCGAAGAATAAACAAAGATGAGAAAGAAGAAGGGGTTGTAGGAATTGTAGTTGTTTTGAAATTGTTAGTACAAGAATGAGAATCAGTCCATATTCTGGAAACTGAATTCTTGGAAGTGAAGCAGCGTTTTGAATGTTGAATTATGGTGCGTTTAGCTAAGCTTGTTAGAAAATTAAGTCCCATTTTTGGGTTTGAATGAATTGTATGATTTTGAGGTTTTGCGGATCAAATTAGTGACAAAAGTAGTGGGGTTTTAAGGGTATCGGGTATTTGGGTGAAAGGAGGGGTTTTGAGTACTTTTGATTAATGAGGCAATTGGCCCCCCAAAAGATTATGGATAGTACACATAGGTCACCGGTTTACTTCCTTCTTCTTCCTTTTTTTTTTCTCCTTTTTATTCTTTTTAAATTCCTCACATAATCTATTTTATGATTTTGAATCCACTCCTAAGGATTTATATTTATTCAAATACCAGATATTTTGTCTTTAAGACATGCCGTAGAATAGAAATGAGATCAGGTAGCCGCTTTGAGCATCCTTATTTAAAATATATTTAGTTATTAATAATTATTTAAAGTTTAACTAATTTCGGCCCTTCTTCTTCTTCGTTCAAATCTTAAGTCAATTACACAACTTCGAGTATGAAGTTAGACTTTAGTGGAGCCTAACTTCAGACCTGCAATTTCAACTTCACACTCAACGATCTAAAGTTAATTTTGAGATGACTAATATAAAAAACTTATAAATTTCGATTATTTTTTAAATAAGGGTCCTAAAAACGGCCATTTATGCACTTCCCCCAACTAAAAATTCTTTTAATCGAAGGGAAGAATTATTTTTGTAGTTGATCACGTCCAACTCTAGTTCTAAAAAGGATAAGCGGTTGCTACAAATATAATCCGGTCTAAAAGTTTGGAGTTGAATCCCACAGAGAACTAAGGTTTAGCTACGACTGTTTACTATCACTAAGAAAACAAGTTCGAACAATTCCTAAGTTATAAATATTAAGGTTCTTGTATCTAATTAACTAACAAATTAAATTAGTAGATCAACAACTATGGATACTAAGGGTTGGAGACAAGATTAAGTAGGTCTAGAGTTATGATTTTTTCAATTGTCGGAATTCTTCCCGCTACGTCTTCTATAATTTCGCCTAAGTATTCTCTACCGATCGTGACTACTTCGGGTGTCATAATTCTCTTTCGAGCAACTACCACAATTTGCTAGACATATTCTTCCGAACTACGCTAGTTGGCACTAATTCACCGCTCACTAAGATCGCACCAAGATTTCGTTATTCCTAATCCCACCTTTAAACCCTCCGTATTAATTTCTCATATACGTTAGGAGTGATGTTGTTCAACAATTATCTAAATATGTACCCTTTTTCAAGCAATACATACTAAATAGGCACAGTCAATTGAGGGCTCTTCAATTAACTAAGATAATCACATAGTTGAACAAGAAGAGAAAATCCAATGGCAAAATCATATTAAACACAAGAGAAAATCATCCTTCAAAAGGTTCTATCAAACCCTAGATAAAAGAGTTTAGCTACTCATAACCATACTAATAATCATGATAATAATTAAAAGCATTAAAATACATATTAAGAAAGAACGGAAGAGAAAACTCTTGTGATTCGTTGCTTTCAAGTGTTCTCGTAGCCTTCTTGCCTCTCCAATAATGCCCAACCCTTTCTCAACTCGTTTGGGGAGTATTTATATGTTAGGGCCGAAATTCCTCAGTCCAAATCCGGGTTGGAGTCTTTTAACCCCGCGACTTTTAATTACCTGGCTATAGACCTCGCGAGGCCAGGCTTATAGCACGGTCAGCCTGGCTACGCCTGGCCTGTAGCGTGGTCAAGCTGGCTATAGAGCAGGATTTACTTGGACTGTAGCACGGTTTGGGTACTTGATGATTTTATGCTCTTTTCTTGCATTTTTGTCTTTTTTTTGTGCAACTTTCATTCGACTCTTTCTCCTGATACTCCTACACATAAAACAACACAATTTAGATCAAATGTCGCATAATTAATCACTAAACCAATAAAATATAGGGTGAGTAATGTACTAAAAGTATAGCATTTTGGCCGAACATCACCACCCCACACTTAAACGTTGCTCGTCCTCGAGTCAACCACCAATTCAGATTAACCTAGAGCACTTTATTTTCTTTTAGCACATCCGAAGTACACCATACCTATGACTATGGTTGATAGCAATAATTAAGCTTTAGCATATGCTTTAACACATACTTCCCTTTACTCTATGTCATACTTCAAAAATTTATTCAACAACAAGACAACATGCTTATAACAATCCTAGCCTCACAAACCGACTCTATATCACAATGCATTAATGGCTTGAACACTTAATATCATAGAGACATCTAATAACGTCACATATCCCTTGCGAAATCATGTTCCCTCACAACAAGAACAAAAGAGTAAGTTGAATCCACACATTCGAATCAAATGCTCAAATATATTTTAAGGACTCACATATATCAATGAAATTCCTCACTCTCGCAAAGAAGTCACATGCATGCATAAAAAACCATATGCTTGCCCATTATGTAAACCTCCACTAATGTAGGTTTGCTCAATCTAAAATCAATTAAGACTTTTTCATGGTTGTAATGTGGGCTAAGAGAAGGGTAAGATATATTTTGGATTAGTGGTTCATCATCCCAAGCACTTTAACACATCACATAATAAACTTCAAGCGCAAATTCTTCAATCCACTTCAATTTCACAAAGAAGATCACCCCAAAAATATTCCTTCTTTCTTTAAGCACTACTATACTTTATACTCCACTAGCAAGAACAAGACAATAATTTATATTCATCTATATTTTGCTTTCTTTTCTTCTCTCTTTTTTTATCTACTATTATTTTTTCCTTTTCAGTTTTCGCTAGTGGTATATTATTTTACAAAATAAGTGCACCCTTTTTTCTTTTATTGATTCCACTCGAAAGCCACCCCACACTTAGTTCGTACTTCTTCTAGCGCTCATTTCACAATTAAAGTGCTTTAAGAGGTAAAAGGATCATAATAATATTGAATAAGAACAAAAGGGATCAAAATAATGTCAAATAAGAACAAAAAGGTATAGGCTCGTAATGTGGGTGTCAAATAAAAGTCTATAGACACAAAAGGGTTTAGGGATAGATTTTATTTGTGGTAGACATTAAGTTCAAAAATATCAAAGAAAGCCTAAAATCATTTTTCAAACCAAGCACGCCTAGGATTTTGCTTCAACTCACATGCCGTCCAAGTTCTAGACTTAGTTACAATGATATGGACTACACAAGAAGATCTCACCACACATGGTACATAATTCACTAAGGACGGTTCCATTTCGATTCTTAAATAATTGCAAGTATTCACGGAGCCACAAAATATTAAGCATCAAGCACAAAGTAAACATGAGCCAAGAAAACGAGACATAGGCGCCAATAGACATACTATCTAACTCAACAAGGCATCATAAGCATTTTCAAACCATAGGGAATGTACTACACATGCCAGAGCTTAAATATGCTACTATCAAACTAATCAAAGGCGACTAGCAAATCTCATTCTTCCTATCCCTTTATTTCCTAAATCCTACTCTATCTAAAGATAAAAAAAAACTACTACCCGATTCAACTACATCCCATGAAAAAGAACCAAGGCACAAAGAAAAACTACGAGGGATTATTACTACCTAAAAGATTAAAAAGACATATTTTTGGATTTTTCTATTTTTTTATTTTTTTTGTGTGTGTTTTTAGTTAGACTTTAGACCCTCAAGAAAATTGTCTAGGATATCCATCGTCGGAAAAAGTCCAATCTTTTTCTATTTATCTAAAAAAAAGATTCTTCACTTAAACTAACACAACTACAGTAGCATAGAAAGTCACCCAGACAATCTCCTCACCCACACTTAAAATTATGCATTGTCCCTAGTGCACACTAAAAATAACATGAGGGTGAAAGAAACGCCCTGATAGGCCAAAGACTGAAGCATCGGCAACTCATGGGATACTTAGACTTCTTTCAGGCCTGGTCCTTTGTGCGGGTACCTCACACTTAATTCCAACCATCTAGTTTGTTTTTGCTTCCTTCCACTAGCTTTTTGTTCCATGCTCCTACAACATAACAAAAAAATACACTACAAAAATAACATAATTTAAAAAATAGTAAACAAATAATAAAAAAAACAGTAAAGTTGGGTTGCCTCCCAACAAGCGCCTAATTTAATGTCGCAGCACGACGTGAATCACTTTCTGCCTCCACTTCGAACTTATGAATTGGACCCCAAGTTTTGATTCTGCTCTATGATCATGCTCTTGGAGGCGATACAAATTGTTGCAAGCCAATAATTAAGTGATTCTTTATGCACCTTTTGGCTTTCAATCGAGGAGTGTCACCTTGCCTAGACGGCCTTGAAAATTTCAGAATATAGGGCTCATCTACCTCTTCCTTTGACTCTTGCATTGGCTCATACAGATCAATTTTCATACATCCTTCCGAACACAATGTCAAAAAATGATTAGAGTGAGGACCAATGCGCTCAAACTGAAAATTCAACTTGTTATCGACCTCCTCTTCTTGCCACAAACTAGAATCAATTAAAATTGTATCTGTAAAGTCCTCAGTTGACTTCAATACCACTTCTTCAACATCGACATCATCAAATTCTAGTTGGTTGGTTTGGTCATATTCTACTCTCAACTCCTCCATTATAATGGCAATTTCTGCAGCCAATTCATGCTCTTCTTGGCTACTATCCACAATGTAAGCTTGTTGTGCTTTACAAGGTTCAATTAGTTTATTCGCTAGAGCCTCCAAGTTGTGAATAGTTGCCTCTTGCCTTTGTATCTGCAGTGATTTCTTATCATATTATTCCACAAGGCACTTCAACTTATCTTTGATCTCCTTCAAGTCAGCTTCCCCGGGTTCTTTGTTCCTATTAACTTCACATGAAAATGTAGAACCATCATAATAAGGGGTTGTGGGAGGATAATAAATACAAGCACAATCATAAAAGTGACCATCTTGACCACCACAAATATCATATATATTCCACACATAAGATTGAGTTGGTGTACAAAACTCGCTCTCGAAAATATTTTGATAATTTTGCCAAAGGTGATTTTCTTCACAATATATATAAGGATCAATAGTAGAATTACTCCCATAATTCCAAGATGTCATGTTTCTCAAATCAACAAGTAAAATAAAATAAAATAAAAAATAAAAGAAAACAAAACAAAATAAAGTTCAAACTTGAAACTTA